GAAAAAGAAGAAGAAGAGGAAACGCCATAAACATCAACTTTGGGTGCTCCGCGCGGACTTCTTCGATCTGCGCTGGACCCCCCCTCCCTGGCGCGCGGAACGCGCCAGGGGCGGCGACGGAGGTGCCGCCGGGGGGGGCCCAGCGCGGATCCAAGAAATCCGCGCAGAGCGCCAACAGCTTATGTTTATAGTGTTTGTTCTCCTTCGAGGGCTGACAGGCTCGGGGCCCGAACCTGATGTCCCAAAGCAATGCGTAGAAACATGCAGGGGGAAGCTCAGGACACAACTTGTCCCTGCGCTTCAAGCAACATCGGGGAAGAAAACACGCAGGGCAGATCGGATTGCAGGGGCGAGGTCCCCGCGACCACCCCGGCGCTCCGCGCCCGGGGACTAGTCCCTGTGCGCCCCCTTCTGGCGTCGGCCCGTGCCTGCCACGCCCTGGATGCCCTGGCCTGGACAGGGGCCGCGCTCAGGGAACACCCCCTGCATGCGTCTCTGGGTCGAGAATTGAGAGCGCGTTCTCATGGAGTAGAGCTCCATGCCTGGGCCCAGACTGCATGAGGCATGCTTGCTCTGTCTAACGCGCTCTTTTCGCGGTGGCACGGCGTCACCGCGAGAACCGCGCGGTTCCCTCCAATTCTGAGGGCCAAGAGGGGGCCATGCAGTCGAAGAAAGCACCACGGTGACACGTGCCATCCCAAAAACCGTATGAGAAAAACCAGATGTTTCACTTGCAATGTGTGGCCCGACATGGGGCCATGCAATATGATAAACCACCAGGGTGGCACACGTGTCATTCTGAACATCGCGAAAGAACAAATCAACATCACACTTGCATTCTGAAGGCCAACATGGGACGACGCAATCTACGGAAACACAAAAGATATACGTGCCATCCCGAACACGTGTGAAAAAAAACAACGATGTCACTTGTAGTCTGAGGGCCGACGCTGAGCCATGCAATATAAGAAAACACCAATGGGACACGTATCGCCCCGAAAACTTTAAGAACGACAACGGCTTCGACTGCATTCTGAAGGCCAGCATGGGGCCATGCAATATAAGAAAACACCACGGTGTCACGTGTCCCCCCGAAGCCGCGTGGTAACAAAAAGCAGCTGCTCACTTGTGTTCTGAGGGCCGACATGAGGCAGTGCAAATTAAGAAGCAGCACGGTGGCACGCGCGACCTCGAAAACCATGTGATAAAAGCTAAGTGTTTTGTTTGTGTTCTGATGGCCAAGATGGGGCTTTGCAATTTTAGACAGCACCAATGTGAGACATGCCACCCCTACCACCCCGTGAGACCAACAATTGCACATTTAGTCTGAAGGCCAACATGGGGTCATGCAGTGTATGAAAGCTCCAAGGTGACATGCGTCGACCCGGAACACGTGCAAGAAAAAGAGCGCGTTCCACTTGTATTCCGATGACCATCATGAGGCCGTGCAGTACAAGATAAACACCAGGAATGATTCGTACCACCCCGAAAACAATGTGAGAACAACTAATTCTTTCACTTGTATTCTGAAGGCAAACATGGTGCCATGTTATATCTAGATGCTTATGTGTGCTTTTTTCTATGAATATACCGGCACCCGTCAAACCAGAAAAAGCCGCGTGAACAAAAAACGATGTGTTGCACTGGTATCCTGAAGGCCGAAAGGGGGCATTCAATAGAAGAGCGCGCCTGAGTGGCACGTGCGGAGCGTCACCCCGAAAGCCGTGTGCGAGAAGCAGACTGCGCCACGTGCGCTCTGGAGGCCAACGCGTGGCCGTTCGATGGAATACAGCGCAAGGGTTACGCGCGCCACCCCGAACATCGCGAGAGGCAAACCACTGGTTTCACTTGTGTACTGGAGGCCAACATGGGGTCATGCAGCACTGGCGCGCACCAAGGTGACGCGCGTCCGCCCGAACACCGCGTGCGAGGGGGCACCTGTTTCACTTGCATCCTGGAGGGCCAGCACGGAGCCATGCAATAAAAGGAACAACCGAGGTGGCACAACCCACCCCGAGAACTGTGTTGGCAAGAGTGCCGCCTTGGGCTTTGTACTCTGGGGGCCAGCATGGGGCCGCGCAAGAGAATCACGCACGACGGGCGACACGCGGAACAACGAAACCGCGTGAGCCGAAACATCAACAACTGTTTCACTTATATGCTGAAGTCCAGCATAGGACCATGCAACACAAGAAAAACAATACTCCATATTTCGCAATAAAGGGAGGGGGGTCTCACTTCGGGGGGGTCTCTTCCAGGCTATCTTGGAGGGCCTGGGGGGTCTGGGGGCGATGTTTTGGAGGGTTCTCCCCCGGGGGGGTGGGGTCTAAAACTTCTCGTCTGGGAGGGTTGAGCCCCCCTCCCTTTTATTGCGAAATCTGGAGTACGTGGCAAGCATCACCCTGGAAGCCGTGTGAGAAAACAAAACAGCCGTCTCAGTTTTATCCTGGGGTCCGCCAGGAGAAGAAGAAACCACGCAAGAAACACCAAGGGCCATGCAACATACGAAATCAACAGGCTGATACGCACAATTCAAAACAACAAGAAAACGTGAGACACATCAGCTGATGCAAGTGGATTCTGAGGGCCAACATGGGGCCACACAGATTAAGAAAACACCAAGGTGGCACATGCCACTCCGAAGACCGTGTGAGAAAACAGTCGTCCCACTTGTATTCTGATGGCGGGCATGAAGCCATGCAGTAAAAGACAGCGCGAGGGTGACGCGCATCACCCTGGACACCGTGCGAGTGCACGCGTCGCCCCGAACACGGTGTGAGAAGCAGAGGCCCTCAGCGTATTCGGGCGCCCGGCCGAAAGACATGCAGCACTCGAAAACGCCAGGGCGACGCGTCGGACCCCGATAACCGTGCGCAGCAACATACTTGCCTCACTCATGCCCTGAAGGCCACCATTGGGGCCATGCGTGGCAAGAGAGCATCAGGGCGACAAGCGCCAGCACGAAGGGCGTGCCTTTTGAAGGCGAACCTGGGGTCACTCAGCAAAGCCAGGGTGGCAGGGTGTCGTTCGCGTGATCGGTGCTCTTTGGCGCCTGCGCGCCGAGGACTGACTACCTACCAGACCACCCCAACCCAACCCGAAGACCCGAATTTCGGGTTGGGGGGGGTAAGGGTTCCACGCGTGTTTTTTCAATGTTTCCCGACCCCCCCCCCACTAGAAATCGAGGGTAAATCTGAGCCTTCGGGTTGGGTTGGGGTGGTTTGGTGGGTGGTGAAGGACGGCCCACGAGGCCCAGCCTGGCCCAAGAGAATGTCACCTACGGCACGGAGCCGGCCGAGGAGGGCCCCAAAACGGCCACAGAGCCCCTAAGGTGGCAAGAGAAACCTGCATGTGGCTCTCCAGGCCCAGGAGGAGAGCTCGCAGAGGCCGTGGGGGCCCTCCCCAGAAGCGGGCGCCCGAGATCCCGAACTGGCCCCAAGAGGCCCCCCAAGACATATGCAACGAACGCCCCCAAACCACTTGGAACCTCGACAGAGCTCCAAGAGGCCGCCACCTGGGCCGCCAGGGCTCGAAGATGCCCCCCATAATTACGCTCCAGGAGGGTTCCAAAAAATTCAGATGAGGTCCCCCAAAAAGCCCCCGAGAATCCCCAAGGATACCCACAGGCTGCACGAGGGGGCCTCGAACGAAACGCGGACAACATTACAAACCGTCCCGTTGTCCTCGGTCTCCTCCTCCTCTTTTTCCAACTTCCTCTCAATGCCGTCGTGGTCTATGTCATCAATTTCCTCCTGCTCCCTCATTCTCTACATCCCACAAGGAGCAGGTTACAACTACCATCCGCTACGTAACGTTGGGGGCACTTTGCTCCATGCGCGACCGGCCAGACACTGCAGTGCCTCCTCCCGGAAGGCACAACATCAGTGATCCCCAGGCGCGGAGTAGGGACTGCGTGGCGGCCACTCCTCCCGCGCACCCAGACACTTGAAGGCATCCAATGCGCGCGACGGCGTCCAAGAAACAGCCAGCAAGCGCCCAAGGACCTCTGACGAGGCTTCAAGACGCCCACCAGGCCTCCCACAAGGCCCCACTACGTCTGGGGGTCGGCGGAATGGCGCAAGCCTCTTGACTATAAAACGCCAGCGTAACAAGTGCCACCCCGAACGACCGTTTGAGAAAAACGGATGCTTCTCTTGCGCTCTGCAGACCAGCATGGGGCCATGCAGTCTAAGACAACACCAGGGAGACACGGGTCACCCCGAAAACCGCGTGCAACAGGCCGATTATTTAAGGTGTGCTCCGCGGAAGGACAGCATGAGACCACGCAATATAAGCGAGCACCCGGGTGAATCATGTAATTCTGATAGCCGCGTGCCGGAAAAAAACCTGCCTCACCTTAAGATGTATAAGGGACCGCCGTGAGAGCACCAGGGTGACACATGCCACCACGAAGAAAATGTGAGAACACAAAAATCAAACTTGTATACTGGAGGCCAAAATGGGGTCACACAGCGTGAAACAAGCCACCAGGGTGACAGGTGCGCTCTGGCGCCTGCACGCTGGACGCGGCCCAATGTATTGATTCTACAAGCTGGCCTCAGCTGGCCCAAGAAAGTACCGAAACCAGCCCAGCGCCGGCCAAGGAGTGCCCCACGAAGGCCTACGAGGCTCCCGATATGACAAGAACAACTTGAATGTAGCCTCCACGGAGGCACGAGAAGCCCAAGAGGGGAACCCTCAGAGGCCTGGGGCGCCCTCCCCAATAAGATTGCCCCCAGCCCCCAAGTGGCTCTAAGAGGCCGCCCAAAAGTGAGCTTGGAGAAGCACCCGGCAATCTGTAGCTGTAAGTCCCTCGTCCGTAAGTATCATCTCCGGTAGAGTTGCTCCCTCTGGGGCCACGAGGGTTGTGCTGGAGTGAGGAAGCGCAAACCAAATCTACCACTGGGGTCTTCGGTGGAGCTCCCTGGAAGGCCACGAAGCGCTGTGCGGGGCTGGGGAGACGCATGCGAACGCCGCCACTGGGGCCATCGATGGAGCTCCCCATGGGGCAACGAAGCGCTGTGCTAGGCGGGGGGAGGCGCGTGCGAAATCGACCACTGGGGACTTCGGTGGAGCACCCTGCGAGGCCAGGAAACGCACGATTCAGCGGGGGAGACGCATGCGAACACCGCCACTGGGGCCTTCGGCGGAGCTCTATATGGTGACGCAAAACTTTGTATTGGGCGGGGGAAGCGCATGCGGACACCGCGTGCGGTGGAGCTCTCTGGATGGCCACGAAGCGCTGCTTGGAGCGGGGGGGGGGGCATGCGAACACTGCCGCGGGAACCTTGTTGGAGCCCACTTGAACGCCACAGGAAGCTCTAGTGGGCGGGGGGGCGCGTGCGAAAACACCGTCACAGGTGCCTACGGTGGAGCGTCCGATGTGGAAAACACAGTGCACTTGGTGATCACCGCCGGGGACGCCTTCGGTGGAGCTCCCTATGTGGCCACGCGTTGCACTGGGCGGGGGGGCGCCTGCGAACACCGCCACTCCTTTGGAGGAACGCCCTAGAAGGCCACGGAGCGCTGTATTGAGTGGAGAGACGCAGGCGGACACCGCTACTGGGGCCTTCTGTGAAGGAAGCTCCTCATGGAGCCACAGGGCGTTGTACTGGGCGGGGCTGGCGCAAGCGAGCGCTGCTGCTGGGGCCTTAGGTTGAGCTCCCTATGCAACGATGCGTAGTACCGGGGGAGGAGGGTGCATGCGAACGCCGCCCAAGGAGCAATCGGTGCAGCGCCCTATGGGACCGCGAATCGCTGTGCTTGGCGGGGGGTGCGCATGCGAACGCCGCCATTTTGGCCTTCGGTGAAGCTCTTCATGGGGCCACGCAGCGCTGCGTTGAGTGGGGTAGACGCAGGCGAGCTCTGCCAAGGAGGCCGTCGATGAAGCACCATATGGGGCCAGAAAATGCTGTATGGAGTTGGGGGGGGCGCATGCGAACGCCGCCATCGGGGCCTTAGGTGGAGCGCCCTCTGGGGCCACTGAGCTCTGTACTATGTGGCAGGGGCGCCGCGGACGCCGCCGTTCTGGCCTCTGGTGGCGCGCCGTAGTTGGCCACGGGAGCTTTGCTGAGCAGGGGAAACGCGCGCAGACACCGCCCCTGGGGGCCTTAGGTGAAGCTCCCTGTGGGGCCACGAAATGGTGTAGTGAAAGGGGGGCGGGCGCCTGCGAACGCTGCCGCTGGGAAGTTTGGTGGTGCGCTGTAGAAGGCCAGGGGGCGCTGTACTTGGCATGGGGCGCAAGCGAACACCGCCACTGGGACTCTCGGTTGAACCTCTTCTGGGGCCACGATGTGTTTTGCAGGACGGGGTGCACGAGCGGACGCCGCCAATGGGGCCATCGGCGGGGGTCCATCTGGCGCCTCGAAACTGTGTAGAACGGGGGGGGCGCCTGCGCACGCCGCCACGGGGCCGATGATCGAGCTTCCCCTGGGGCCACGGAGCGGTCGCTGGGGACGCAGGTGGGGCCCCCACTGGGGCCACGGAGTGCTGTTGCGGGCGGGAGGGGCGCAAGCAAACGCCGCCACTGAAATCACCCGTGTGGCGCCCCATGGGGCCACGAAGCATTGTACTGGGCGGGGGGGGTGCCTGCGACTGTTGCCACTGACGCCGTCGGTGAGGCGCCCTGTGGGGCCACGACGCGCTGTGCGTTGTGCGGGTGGAGCATGCAAGCAGGGAGGCTCTCTGACCTAAGTTTGCTGCTGGCGACAAGGCGAGCCCCCTAGCAACGGCCACAACACTGGAAACAAATACCGCGCCCCGAGTAAATTGCGACCAAACGTGTACAACTATACATTCGGTGGGGCTGACAGCGCCCAGTGCCTCGCAAAGAGACTCGGCAACTGAAAACAAAACGTCCTCCTTAGTAACCGCCCGCGGCACGTTTAAGGCAGAGGGGCGCCCCATCTTCCCGGAAGAACTGTTTCTCTAAGCTACCTCTGCGGGTGCCCCTTCCCCCAGAAGCTCTCTGTCTTCCAAAATACACAAACGATTGGAGAGGCTTTGCCCCGCTGGCGCGGTGGGCATCAGCCATGGCCTCCAATGTGATCTGCTCTTTGTCGCTCACCTGGGGCGCGAGGCGCAAAGCCGCTTCGCGTGCTGCTCTAGCTGGCGTGGTCGGCTGGCGGCCCCCCTCGAGGGCGCTCTGGCCCTGGCGCCTGTCGCGCCGGGCGGGCGCAGCCTCCGAGGCTGGGGCTCGGGCCTGGCGGGGGGGCGCCACAAACGGCTCGTCATCGCTGCAGGTGGGACCAGCCATGGCTCGGGCCGGACGCGCGCGCCAGCCCCCAAGCAGCAAGAGAAACCTGAGCCAAAATGGCAACGGTGGCGCTTACTTTGGGCCGCGAAGAGCCGTGCTGTGCGGGGGGGCGCGCGCGGACGCCACCACGAGGGCCTTCGGTGGAGCTATATACAGATGAGGCCACGGGGCGCTGTTTTGGCCTGGAAGAAGCATGCGGACGTTGCCGCCGTGGTCTTCGGTGGAACTCCCGACAAGGCCACGGGGCCTCGTGGTGAATTCGGTCAGACACATGCTGGCACCGCCATCGGAGCTTTCGGTAGGGCTCTGCTTTGGGCCACGAGGCATTGTACTGGGCGGGGGGGTGCGGGCGGGCACCGACAGTGGGGCTCTGGTGGGACTCGCTATGGGGCCACGAAACGTGTCAGAATATTTGAATGGTACGGAGAACGCCGGCAACAGTGGGCGGCGGGGGAGGGCTGGTGGAGGAGGATGGCGACAAGGAGACGAGAGGAGAGGAGGAGCGGAGGGGTATTCTATGCAAAAAGAAATTCAACACCACAGGTTGGTAGGAACTCTCGCAGAGCACTTCGAAACCTACCGGGGACTCTTGCAAAACGTTTAAAACAAAGGGCGCTGCCTGGGCCGCCAGAACGTAGCGAGGATGCCCCTATGGGTTGCGGGTGGCACCAAGCCTGTTTGCACGAATCCCACCAAATGCTCCGAAGGATCCCCACAAAGACTCCCAAGCTGCAGGGCGGGGTCTCGCACAAAGCCCGGGTAACATTACAAACCGTCCCGTCACCGTTATCTTCGATATCGTCATCCTTTCTTTCCGTCTTGGCGCGGGCGCGGAGAAGCGACTGCGCGGCAGTCGCTCCCCCCACGCGCCCAAGACTTTTCAGAACAACCCAGGTGCGCGACGGCGCAAAATCACCATTCATGTACTTTCGCTTGTGCTCTGAGAACCAATTGGCTGTACTGTGACACGCGTCTGCTTGAAAACGGCAATTGGGAAGTACGAGCTGTCCCGCGTAGATCCTGGAGGCCAGCACGTGGCCAGGGAGTGTTGTGCGAGAGGGCCAGACTTTCGCCTAGGTGAAGCGTGCCACCAGGAAACCGCTGAAAACACCAACAACAACAAAAAACGCAAGAAGGCAACGCGCGTCACTCCAAAAATCGCGTGCGCGGCCCCTCCCCAGACCATGTCCGTGCACATGTTTCGTGGCCCCAGCAGACGCTCGAACGAAGGCCCTGCGGTACAGGTCGCCTGCCTCCCACGGCCCCCCTCCCAGAGGAAACAGCATGTCGCCCCCCCTCCCCCCGGACACGCTGCCTGCCCCCTGTGGATGGCCGCCCGCGAGTCCGAGAGGGGCGGGGGGGGGCACGCCGTCGCGCTTCCAAGAGGGCTCTCCGAAACCGAGGGGCAGCATCAGGCAAGTTGGACGACGTGATGTGTTGTATTTCGCCTATTTGTAATCTCCTCTGTCAGAGTGAAGGGCCCGGGCGGCCATTTACTGTCCCTGGATGCGTGTTTGATGTGGGAATCCTCGGTGAGGGTCCTGCTTGTTGCGATGTCGTTGTCGTTGTCCTTGTCGTTTTCATTGCCCTTGTCGTTGTCGTTGTTGTCGTTGTTGTCGTTGTTGCCGTCGTTGTCGTTGTGGCCGATGTTACTAATGTTGTTGTTGTTGTGGTTGTTGTCGTTGTCGTTGTCGTTGTCGTTGTTGTTGTTGTTGTTGTTGTTGTCGGTGTTGTCGGTGTTGTCGTCGTTGTCGTTGTCGTTGTCGTTGTCGTTGTCGTTGTCGTTGATGTTGTTGGTGTTGTTGATGTTGTTGTTGTTGTTGATGATAACGAGCTCTGATCCCCCCCCCGCCGGTGCACATTGTTTTTCTCGTTCAAACTGTGTACCCCTCGACGCTCGCGCCCTGTTTTTGGACAGGGGAAATCTTGATGCTCAAACTAAGCCCCTGGTCCCCGGGTTACAACAACAACGGCTCCCGCGTGAGACCTTCTCACAGGTTAGCCAGGACTCCCGCTCCCGCCCGAGACTCCCTCGCATTTTATTCAGGACTCGCGCTCTGGCTTGGGACTTCCGCGCAATTAATTCCGGAATCGCTCTCCCGGCGCTCTGGAGTCGCGCTCTCGCTGGAGACTTGCTTGCAACTTACTGAAGAATGGCCTAGCGCCGCGCTCCCGACACCCAGGCACCCAGGAGTCGCGCCCGTTGTGGCCCCATGTGCGTGCCCTTCGTGGCCCCCCTCTTTGTCCTACGTGGCCCAGTTGCTACCCTCAGTGGCCCCACAATTGCCTTCTGTGGCACCGCATTATCTGCACTTCGTGGCCCCCGCTCGTTCGCGCTTTGTGGCCCCATACGCATCCCCTACGTGTCCCCGATGTCGCCCTTCGTGGCCTACTTCGTGCCCTTCGTAGCCCTGCTGTCGTTCTCTCTCGCTCTCGCTTTCGCTCGTCGTCGCCGTCGTCGTCGTCGTCGCCGTCGTCTTCGTCGTCGTCGCCGTCGTCGTCGTCGTCATCGTCGTCGTCGGTCCCCTGTCCGTCCCTCTTGGGGTCGGGTCGACGGTCCGCGGCCGCCCCGCCGATCAGCGCTGCCGCTGGCCAGGCCGATGGTCCGCGGCCGCCCCGCTGCTCAACGGGGCCCGGCCTGCAGGGAAGAAACGTGTACCCCCCAAAAGGGGTCCGATCGAAGACGAAAAGGGCGGGTATCGAGGGCTTGGGGAATACGCGTTATTGTTGTTGTTGTTGTTGTTGCTGTTGCTGTTGCTGTTGCTGTTGCTGCTGCTGTTGCTGTTGTTGTTGTTGCTGTTGCTGCTGCTGCTGCTGTTGTTGTTGTTGTTGCTGTTGCTGTTGCTGTTGCTGTTGCTGTTGTTATTGTTGTTGTTGTTGTTGTTGTTGTTGTTGTTGAACATTATTTATTCTAAAGAATAATTATTGTTGGGCCCCCTGGTGCACGCCCCCCCTGCGCCGCCTAGGCCGCAGCTACATTTTCATCATTTTCGTGAGGAAGCCTCAGGTAAAACGATGTGATCCAGATCCGGTTGTTTTGTTGTAATCCGTTTTCCCTTGCAAAAAACACTATAAAATGACATTTCTTGTTCTAATATAATCAAATTTCAAGAATCCCTTGCAAAAAATAAGGTAAAGTGGACATTCGCGCGCGCAAGACGAAATCCTTCCAAAAGCTTAGTGTTCGGAGCGATTTTAACATAAAAACATCAAAAAACCAATGGTTTTTCAACAAAAAAATGTCAAAATCTCATCCCGCGCGCTCTTGCGGATTCGTAGGAAACCCAACACTTTTTAAACATTTCTGTCAAACGGGCTTTTGCGAGCAACTTTTTCGAACTTCTGCGACAACGGTTGCGCACCTGCCAGGGCCATCATCCCTGTCAAATAATACCATGCGGGACACATTCGTTTTTTCTTCGCGCGCGCACGCCGAAATCTCCAAAAACCATTGGGCTTCTTAAGAATTTTAGCACCGCGCATCATAAAATCACACGAATCGCACCGTAGGTCCTCGAAAAACACCTGCACGACTTTTCAAAATTTCTACCCGCGCGCGCTGTCCGAATCCTAAAAAAACCAATGGTTTTCCAACATTTATGTTACATGAGCTCGCGCGAGCTACCATGTGTATCATGTGTATCATGTGTATCATGTGTATCATGTACCATATGCATCATATGCAACAGATGTTCTGTGGAAGGCTTAACAACTTCTGTGGGTTAACAAGGCTTAACAACTTCTGTGGGTGTACGAACGTAGGCTTAACAACTTCTGTGGGTGTGTACTCCACGCCAGTGTAGTAGCCACGGTCGTCCGCAGGCCACGAAGTGAAGTGTCCGAACGTCATAGGGCGGGAAGCTGGGTGTGGGTGGTGGCGAAGAGTCGTGTGGATATTTGGTAGAGCTTGCACTGCCCCCCCACAAAGTGGGGGTATTGGCTGGCGTCGCATGAAAACCCTGGCACTGGTGAGAACACGGAGCGTTCGGGTAAAGTGATTGTTGTTGTTGTTGTTGTTGTTGTTGAACTCTCACTCTTGAAGAATAATTATTGTTGTCCCCCCCCCACCGGTGCACATTGATTTGTTTCGATTGCAGTGCCACCCCCGGGGCTCGCACCTTGTTTTTTCTCAAGGAAAGTCTTCCTGCTCAAACTGTGCCCCTGCCCCCCGGGCTACAACAACAACGGCTCCCGCCTGAGACTTCCTCGATTTTTACTCAGGAGCCCCGCTCCCGCCTGAGACTTCCGCGCAATTTGCTCAGGAAAGGCGCTCCCGTCTGAGACTTCCCCTGCAATGTAATCAAGACCCCCGCTCCCGCCTGAGACTTCCGTGCAATTTACGTGGGAACGGCACTCCCGCTTTACACTTCTTGTAATTTTACTCAGGATCCCCGCTCCTGCCTGACATTTCCACGCAATTGACTCAGGAACGGCGCTCCCGCCTGAGACTTCCTCGCAATTTAGTGAGGACCCCCGCTCCCGCCTGAGACTCCCATGCAATTTGCTCAGGAACGGCGCTCCCGCTTGAGACTTCCTCGCAACTTAGTCAGGGCCCCCGCTTCCGCCTGAGATTCAAATGTACTCAGGACTGCGCTCTCGCGTGCGACGTCCTCGCAAATTATTATGGAATTGCGCTTCGGCGCTCAGGAAACACGCGCGCGCCAAGGACGCCTTCACAACGTGGTATCTTCCCTCTTCCTTCGTCCTTCCCCCTCCCCTTCCTCCCACTCTCCCTCGTTCTTCCCCTCCTCCTCTTGCAGGGCCCGCGCCAATTCCAATGGCGGGCAGAGAGATGTGGGCCCCCGAAGGATTGTCCGCCCGTTCCGGTTTGCCCGTACGTCTAAGCCTGCCGGCCCCAGCAAAGAGAAATAATCCCCCCGAAAGGGGTGTGATCGAAGACGAAGAGGGCGGGTACCGAAGGTGTAGGGTATACGTGTTGAATGACTCGCGGGCAAGTAAGAGCGTACAGCCTTAAAAATGTTGTTGTTGTTGTTGTTGTTGTTGTTGTTGTTGTTGTTGTTGTTGTTGTTGTTGTTGTTGTTGTTGTAATACTAAATTCTTGCACCCCCGCACAAGTGCATTTTGCTTTTTCTAAGTCAACGTGTGCTCCTCGATGCTCGCAATTTTTGGGATAAGGGAAGATTTGATGCTCAAGATGTGCTCCGGGTCCCCCCGATTACAACAACAACGGCTCCCGCCTGAGATTTCCTTTGGATTTACTCAGGGCGCACTTTTCTGAGACTTGCAGGGCCCGCGCCAATTCCAATGGCGGGCAGAGAGATGTACGCCCCCGAAGGATTGTCCGCCCGTTCCGGTTTGCCCGTGCGTCTAAGCCCGCCGGCCCCAGCAAAGAGAAATAATCCCCCCGAAAAGGGTGTGATCGAAGACGAAGAAGGCGGGCATCGAGGGTGTAGGGTATACGTGTTGAATGGCTCCCCGCACAAATGCATTTTGCTTTTTCTAAGGCAACGTGTGCTCCTCGATGCTCGCAATTTTTGGGAGAAGGGAAGATTTGATGCTCAAGCTGTGCCCCGGGTCCCCTCGATTACAACAACAACGGCTCCCGCCTGAGACTTCCTTTGGATTTACTCAGGGCGCACTTTTCTGAGACTTTCTCATCATTCACTCAGGACCGGTGCTCCTGCTGATGGCTTCCTCGCAATTTAATCAGGACCCCCGCCCCCGTCTGAGACCGCTATACAATTTACTCAGGAAGGGCGCTCCCGCTGGAGACTTCCTTGCACACGAAGAGTCCGTGGACCTGCTTGGATTCGCCGCCGCTGCCCTCGCGGAGGCGCGGGTGCCCTCCCCGATTGCCCGCGCTCTAGCCCTCTGCAAGATGACGGCGCCCCAGAAACCAGACAACGGAGTACGGGGCATCGCCACCGGCGACGTTTTCCGCCGACTGGTCACCAGGGCGCTCGCTCAACAGTTAGCCGAGCAGCTCGTGGCCGCAACTGCGCCCTTCCAGTTCGCCCTGACGACGCGGGCAGGGACCGACTGCGCCGCCATGCTGCTGAGGTCAGTGCTGGACCACGACGACGACGCAGTGATTGTCAGCATCGATGGAGTCGGGGCTTTCGACCATGTGTCGAGGTCGGCCTTCTTCCAGGAGCTCCTTGCTCGCCCAGACATTTCACATTTCGCTTATACACAGCCGTCCACGGGTCCGCGCGCCGGTCGCCTGGCGCCCGGCCCCGCGGCCGCTGCGACTCAGGACTGCCACAGGGGTGCAGGTCTGAGCCATCCAGCCGACGGAGGCAAGGCGGTGGTCTCTCACACCCCTTCCTCCCCCGGCTGGTGCGTGACGAGTGGCGCGGGGGGTCCAACGTTCCCCCCCCGCCCGCAGAACGCAGGCGGCGGACGACGTCGACGGGGGGCAGGCAAGTCAGACATGCAAGAGAAAGGAGCGCAAGCAACAATTGAAGGGGCCATTGAGGTGTCAAGACACGCTATGGGAAGCAATAAGACAGACGAGCAAGGGAGGCGGGAGCAGCAGGGAGACGGACGGGGAAACACAATCGTGAGATCAGATCAATCAACAGGAAGCGACACTTACCTAGACCAGCGAGAGAGAGAGAGAGAGAGAGACCGAGAGAGCAAGAGACAGGGAGACAGAGAGAGGGCAAGATCGCAAGACCACGGGAGGACGGGCAAGGGGGGACATGGGCAAACAAGCGAAATGAAAGCATTTTGGCGGCCCGCCCCTTCGCGATCCCACTGCTGATACAGCCACCGCGCGTGAAGGCCCCCGGCCCTCTCAGGCCCCCTGGCGACCACGGCGCCCTCCCCGCCAGAGGCGGACAGTGCCCCCCGGACCAGCCACGCGAGGGGGGCAGCGATGGAAGGGCGCGCGGCGCGCCCTAACGCAGCAAGCTAAGAATGGCAGGCGGAGGAGGAGGAGGAGGAGGAGGAAAAGGAGGAGGAGGAGGAGGCCGGCCTGGGGGCCGCGCGCAGGATTGCGCGGCCCACGAAAACAATGTGGCTGGCACGGGCCACAGGTTCCGCGCCCTCACAAAAAAGCATCTGCAAGAGCAAGTCAGGAGTGACGGACGGCCCAACGCGGCCCTCCCCCACGCCTGGCAGTGCCTTGCGCGCCCGGTCTAAGGCCGGACAGCGAACGAGGACATGCCGGAGCGAGACACCGCGCCTGCGGCATGCACGGCACACTGGGATGGTTTCTGGGAGTTCCACCTCGCCTAACACAGGCAGCGGCCATGCCCCCGTCATCCGGGCGACTGCCCAAAGACGGTAGTACCTCCAAAAGGAGGGCCCCGGCTCCCAGGTCAGCATGCCCTCATCGGGGAGTGCTGGACCAGGGCACAGCGCTGCAAAGGACCGATTGAGGCTCGGCAAAACCCGCGAGGCCCCCGCTGCGAAGGCCTGCTGGTCGTATCTGAGGAGTGCCGGGCGCAAGGCAAAGCGCCGATACTCCCGCAGGAGGACCTTCCTTCGGGCTGGGTCGAGCTGGGCAGCGCGGAGGGCCTCCGGGGGAAACAAAGGGTGAGAATCCAGGTCAGGAGGCGGGTCTGGCAGGCGGGAAGCCAGCGCCGCTGCGTCCGAGAGCCAGGTGGGGACGCAGAGGGCGCGCGAAGCACGGTACATGATTGCGCCAGGATGGTCGGGCGGGAGCACGGTTAGCCGAGCCCGAGCCATGAGCGCACGCTCGATGAACCGGGTGCCCATTCGCATGCGCCAGCCGCATTGCGCGACCACCACGACGTGCTTGATGGGCGGCCCGCCGTGGCATCCCAGCAGTCGGCGGCCCCACCCCACCTGAAGCTTGTTGAAACGAGCCTCGGCGCCAGGGACTCCTGCAAGGAGCGGACACGCAAAAAGAACAGCTGCCTCAACACGAGGCGGCACCTGCGCGGCCGCCACCGGCACAGAAAAACCTCCGCTCTCCGCCGCGAAAAGCAACTTCTTGAAACAGGAGTCGCCGATAGCACAGAGCTCGTTCAGCAGCGGGCCAAAAGTCAGCCCTGAATCGACAAGAACACCGAGGAGGTGTTTCTGAGATACGACTGGGCAACCTGGTCGGCCTGGGATCGGGGCACCAAGCAAGGGCAAAACGCATGTCTTGTCACGCTCATACGTGAACGAGGACTTCATGCGGAACGCATAGCGACTACATGCCGAGGTGCTCTCATCGGAGATCACTGCCCGCACGGCGCCCTCAGACGGGCACGGCGTGGTGATATCGTCGACAAATTGAACCGGAGGCAAATGGAAAGACCCTGTAGCCTCGGCAAGCGCCACTCGGTCCGCCTCCACCGGGAGGCGTTGGAAGACGCCACGGAGCCGCTCTTCAGCAGACGCCGCAAGGGGGGCCGCCTGCTCTAAGATGCCCGCAACACTCGACTTAAACTCCTGAACCGGCAGGTCTCGCCAGGGCATGCTTTCCCTACATGCGGGGGGCGTAGCAATGGCCGCATCCAAAAGGGCGCTTCTGATCAGCAGCGGGATGCAGGAAGCGCATCCACCGGGTAGTGCTTCCGAGATTTCGTCACGCAGCGCGCGTAGCTGCGCGTTACAAATATGCACGGAGAAGCGACGACCTTGGGCAGTTCCACATTTCAAGAAAAAGACCGGAGAGAGCAGGCCGTGGAGCCCCACTGTCTGTTGGTCTTGGGCCAGGATGTCGTCCAAGAGGAGCCAATCGGCCCCCTCGACCCCGGCGCTGTATGCACCGAGGAGCATGCCGTCGATCGAGGCGACATCGAAAGCCCATTTATTGTCAGCTATGGCCCACCAGGTTGGGCAGTCAAACGCGCGTCGTAGCTGCGCATTGAGGACAAGGGCAAGAACCTGGGATACAGGGTCTCCAACCCCGCCCTGTTGGGCTGCACCGCAATATGCCTCAATGAGGGCCCCATTCCGCGCTATCCACAAAGCGTCTTGCACAGACGCCATGTCGCTGGCGAAGGACACGGGTCGAAGGGCAGAGACCTTTCTGACCACGGGAGGGCCTGATTTCCGAAGAGGTGAAAACTGCCGGAGAGACCAGAAGCGAGACGTGACACAAAGGCGGCGGCCCAAGTTCAACAGCGCCCGCGTTAGGCGGAAACCCTCTTGAACTGGCGCCTTCACCGCTGCGTTGCACAAATGCACAGTCCGTTTACCAAGCTTCAACAAGGCAATGGCCTCTTCGACTTCGGTCTCGCTGTACAGTGGCTGCGCGCGCTCGGGCCCGGACGCGGCTCCTGCGCGCCGGATCCCTGAGACCACGCGAGACATGCGGTCCCTCTCCACAGGGCATTGGGGGAAATCGTTCTGAGCGCGCCCCAACAGGTCCGCCTGAATTGCATCGAGCATCTCGCTCGTGGACTGGGTGCGCCCTGTCACTGGGCTGACGAGCTGGATATCAAATCTGTCCGCGTCCTTGAAAAATCCAGACAAGAAGCGCTCCGCGGCGCCTTTATTAATTTCCCGGAGGCGTAGGTAACGGTGCACCGACTTCCGACGCTGTTGCCAGGCTGCTTCTTCAGTCGCCCGTTTAAAGTCAGCAAAGCTAGAAAAAGCGGAGGGGGCTAACGGCACCGCAGCTGGTGCCCTCGCTCTCGCGGGTCCCCCGACAAGGCGGACAGCTCCTGAGCCATGGCCAACAATAGTGTACACTGCATCGCGGCACCATGCAGCCACATTTAGGACTGCGCGGCGATGGAGCCTCGTGGCCGAGCCTCCGTGCCAGGCCGGGCGCAACCACTGGGACTCCAGGAGAAGCTCAACCGCGTGGGCGAGCGCGGCCAAAGTTGGCGCAACCTCACTGAGGCTGGCCTCCCATTCAGCACCTGAGGTCCACGCTACTCGACCAAAGCCAGCGGCCAAGTGCGGCTCGACCAGACAGGGCGCATCCAGTAGGACGAGCTTGTGATCCGAAAGGGCTATGAAATCTTCCACCACCTGGACAGGTAGGGGGTCGCCGCGCAAACCTATAAAAATGTCAATGCACGTGCCGGAGGAGTGGGTCGGCTTGGGGGGGTTGAACGCCCTGAGGTTAGCCCTGTCCAGCAGTGCCTGGATATCTCTGTCAGGGCCGCGTTGGGAGCAGTGCAGGCAGCGGCAGGTCACCGCATGCGAGACGACGTATGTGAGGTGCACGTTCCCGTCACCCCCAATTAAAAGCCGGGCAAGCGGGTACTTGGCCTGAAACTCCGCGGCATGGGCAACGATAGAGGACCACGTGTCCCTGTCTCCTCCATGGACAGGGTACATGGCACAGAGAACGAGGCACGGAGAGCGCGCCGACGCGGAGGGCCAAACTTCAAACCACTGCTCACGCGCCGACGACGCCTCCGGAACGAATCTGACAGCCTGCTCCAACTCGGGCCTCACGAAGAGGCCCACGGTGTCCCACTCCGTGGACGTCGGGCCAATCCAAACAAAAGGAAAGCCTGGCGGTAACCACGCGCCCGGCGGGAACCGCGAGCCAGGCAGGATACAGACATCAACGCCATGCTCGACAAGAGCGTGTGCGACTGCCTCCAGGCGCCACTCAAGAATTAAGTCCGTACCAAGGTGCAGAAAACCCGTGCGGCCCGGGTTCAGCGTGGCAATGCGGAAGAGTGGGCGCGCGGGCGGGACAGGCCCCAGGACGCGCCCAGCCGCTTCTGCGGCAGCAGCCTGGGGAACTCCCCCAACGTAGGGCCCCCCCACAATGCGAGAGATCCCGGGAAGCGCCATCAGCGACGGGAGCAGCGCGCGCGCGAGAAAATGTTGCAGCTCCACTGCGAAGGCCCATAGGGGGCCAGCTTCGGTGCCCGCATGGCGAGTCACCCCATCTGGCCACGCCGGAGCCAGGTGCAGCAGGGCTAGGAAGTCCCTGGAGGCGGCCGCCAACTCCGCGCGGCTCTGGGGCGCACCTAACCACCGCATGGCCTTCTCACGAAGCGGGGCCTGGGACTGCGCGGCCTCCGCTCGCATCCGCGAGCGCGTCGCCGCCTCCTCCTCCCAGGGGGCGCGTCGGCGATCCATCGCTTCGGCGCTCCAGAGGGCGTTAGCTCGAGCCCTATCGGAGCAGGGGTGGCACGGGGTAGGGGAAATGCGAGACGACGACGACAGCGCAGCAAGCAATCAAGGGGCGGGGGCCGCATCGCCGCTGCAAGGCAGGATTTTGCATGCAAGCACAACACGGCGTGAGAAGGGGACAACGGGACAACAGAATGTAAGCACGTGGGGACTTGCGTGCGCGCAACACTGTGGCCTGGGAAAGACACGACCACACGGCGACATGCAAGTGCGACAAGGGGGTGGGAAGACGGGCGCCCCCTCCATCTTCCCACCTGCTGCCTGACCTCGTCAGACACGCTGGTCACCCCCAGCGGGACGCCGAGAGGGGGGGGGCTCGCCAGGAGGTGGGGTGGGAAGATGGCCGCCCCCACCGTCTTCCCGGCAGCGGCCGTGGGCAGGTGGGTGGTCGACAGCCTCCCCCCTGCTTCCCAGCCGCACGCATTGCTTCCCACCTGCCGCAAGCCCCACGTCCCCCCGGCCCCCCCGGCCGAACGCCGGGGTGGGCACCCCCAGGAGGGGTGGGAAGATGGCCCCCCCCGCCATCTTCCCAGCTGCCGCCGTGTTGCCGGCACGCTCCCTCGAGGAGCCGACTCACGCAGACGAGCAGAGAAGCAAAGCAACGGGCTGACGTGGAAGCTGAACAAAGACGCAGTGAAGCATGACCCCGCACGCGCGTGCTACCGCGAACAGAGAAAGGACAAGGTGACTGCGCCATGTGAGCACGCGCTGCATGCAAGATAAGCGCGGGGGACATCGCTGCGAAGCCGGACGTTGCACGCAATGAGCTCGAGACAGCGCGAGCAGAAGACAATGTAAGTGGGACGGCTTCCCGCGCGAGGCGCCTTTTCCTTTGCGCAACGCGCCCGGGCCTTGCCGCTCCCCAAGCGCCACGTCCAAAGACACTCTTTATGCAGGACGAATTAGCGCTGGGGCCCTAGCCTGCAAGTCGGGCAAGCGCGTGCAGATCTGCGCGAGCTCATGCGGCATCGCGCATCTAGGCTTCTCGGGGCCGAAGAGAAAAAACAACGTCGTAGCCCGGGCAATGACAGGGCATAAGGAGATCGAGGAAAGAACAAGTGCGACTGGCAAACTGGACAGGAGCTTCGGCTGTCCGCCCCGACAGCGGGGGCGACGGGGGCACGCCCACCCCCTCCCCCGCTGGCGACGCCGACATTAGAGGGGGGCGCTGGAGTGGGGCACACGACTCACTAGGAGGCTTCAACGAGGACACCGGTCTCCAACCGGGCCGCGAGCGCTTGCTGGCGAGGCAAGCGGGGGTGGGGCGGCGAGACTAGCCAGGGCCCAACATGTCCCGCGCCCGCACGCGCGGGGGGGCCGGGGCGCCGTGCACTGCCGGGGCCGGGGCCGTAGCCGTCCTAATCTCGGCGACAGGCCCCAGAAACATTAAGAGCTCTTCCAAATTGGCGTCGAAAGCCGCCCTCTTGCCCTTGACGACAATGCGCCCCTGCCGCTTGTTCACGAGCTGTATCGTGAGCTTCAGTAACGGCCCCGTCCTCCAAGTGACTTCGACGGCGGGCTGATGAAAATCGCCCGTGGCAAAGCCAAAAGGCGGGGCCAGGGCGGGCCGTGCCCCGCGCCCCTTCGGAGCCGCAGCCTCGATGTGGACGCCCATCGCCCTGACGATTGCATGCAGGTCGCCCTGGGACAAGCACCGCGTGTGGAACGTCGCCTCCATGGCAACGCGACCGTCCGTCGACCCCCCCACCGCAGTGTGGAGCCTGCTGTGCCAGGCACCCACGGCCCCATCTAGCTCAGATGCCCTGGTGAAACGCGCGAGCGACTGGGCGGGGGTCGCAAGCGCGGCGTCATTTGGCACAGCGCCACCAGCCGCCGCGTCCTGCAGGGGGGGAGCCTGCGAAGCGGGGCCGGCCGGGACCCCGGCAGGCGAGCGGTCGCGGGACCGCGATAGCTCGCTGATCTCCTCATTCAAGGCGGCGGTGCGGGAGATCCACGCTGCAACTTCAGGTGGCCGGTGCATCACCACCTGCTGGGTAGACCTCTGGAACCACAAAATCTGGCCCCCGGTGGGGTCGCGAAACTCCTCCCAATCCGGACGCGCTGCCTGAAGGGCCTCCAGCTCCAGGCGCAGCGAACGGATCGCTTCAGGTGAAGCCGCCACGGGTGCCACCACCACAGGCGCTGTGAGCTGCAACGCGGCCCTCGCCCACGCTGCCATCGGCGGGGTCGCCGCGCCCCCCGGCGGCGCCCCCTCCGGAGCAGCAGATGCGTCTGCGGTGGCGCGGGCAGGGGCCGGAACTGGGAGAGCAGGGCCCGTGCCCGGGTGGTCCCACCGGCTTTCCCCTGTACGCCTGTTCTGGAAGAACAAAGCCCCAGACGGCGCACGGCGAGACTCCCATCCCGCCGGCAGCGGCGGCGGCGACAAGTCCGGAGGGCCCGGGGACTTCGCCTCGGGGGCGGGCTGCCGCCTCACCGGTGAATTCGCTGCGACAGGCGGCGGCGGCGGCGGCGGGGGCGGTGGCAGCGGCGACAAAGGCGCCGCGCCGACCCACCCCTCCGGCGGAGAGACCGCCAAGCCGCGCGCCGGGGGCGCCGGGGAGAGCACTGCACGAGCCTTCGGCGCCGCCCCGGGGAAAGCGCTGAAGTCCCCGGGGGGGGCCTCAATCGGGCGCGGGGTAACTGGCTGAGACGGCAGCATGGCACTCAGCTCAGCCGACAAGCCACGCTCTGGCGAGTCAGCCACTTCTGTCGGGCTACACGTCTGCTCAGGGGCCGGCTGCTCAGAAGACCTTGAGCTGCAGCGGCGCCGACGGTCCCGGCGGCCACGGTCCCGGTCCCGGTCCCGGTCCCGGTCGCGGTCCCGGTCGCGATCCCGGTCGCGGTCCCGGTCCCGATCACGACTACGGCTCCGCTCCCGGTCCCGGTTCCTGTTGCGCTCCACCGGCATCGCGGCGGGGCCGAGGGGCCGGGTTGCGGGCTCCGGGGCGCGGGCAGGGACCGGGCGGCGCGTGGCGTGGCAAGCCCTTGAGCACACGTTCCACCGGGAAAAATAAAGACGGAGGTCCGGTCCTGCATATGTGAGAAACGCGACAATCCTTTGTTGGGGCAATACGGAGGAAGAGGGGGGAGGGCGAGGGAGGCGAAGACGAGGCCTGGAAACGCGGACGAGCTCCCACCCCCTCCCGGGTCAACCGAAGGCTGCCCGACAGACGGCCGGCAACTTAAGAAGTCACATAGCGACTGCGATCAGGCCAAAGCGACACAGCCCAGCAGGGGCACCCCGGGCTCGGCACGGCCGGCGACGAACCAGCGAGCCCGGGGAAGCACGGCCAGAGAAGGCCGAGGCGAGGCACCAACACGACACGGCAACCCCGCGGCACCCACACGGCAACCCCACGGCACCAACACGACACGGCAACCCCACGGCACAACACGACACGGCCAGAACAAACACACGGCACACGCACAGCACGGCGGGGGAGGGGGGAGGGCGGCGGCAGGAACGCACAGCGTACGGATTGCAGGGCTCCGTGGAATCCGAACCTCCGTTATCACGACGACAAACATGACTTGGATACGCTTGCGGGGACGGGCGCAAGCTTCGGAGGAGGGGGGGTGGGAAGACGGCCGCCCCCATGATCTTCCCACCTGCGGCCCGGCGCGCTGGTGGCCTGCGAAGCGGGGGAGGGCGACACCCCCCCAGACGGGCGGCTGTCGGGGAGGCCAGCCAGGGGGTGGGAAGACGGCGCCCCCCCTCGTCTTCCCACCCGCGCCTGGAGAGCGGGACAGCCCTGCCCCTACAGCACCCTGCCGGCGATGCGGGGTGCTGGCGCGCAGCAAGGAAGGAGGGGGGGACGACCGGCGGCCGGGGGTGGGAAGACGGCCGCCCCCGCGATCTTCCCACCTGCGGCCTGGCGCGCTGGTGGCCAGCGGAAAAAGGGAAGATCTCCCTTGGCGGCCGGGGGGGGGGGGCAGGCCAGGGAGGAGGGAAGGGAGGGAGGGAGGGGAGAGGGGAGGGACAGGCAAGGGAGGAGGGAGGGGGGGGCAGCACGGGGGGGGAGGCGACGGCGACGCCAGGGGGGGGTGGGAAGATGGGCGCCCCCCTCGTCTTCCCACCAGCCGCTTGTCCCACGTCGGACACTTTGGTCTCCCCCACCCGGGCGCCGAGAGGGGACCCCGGAGGGGGGTGGGAAGACGGCCGCCCCCGCCATCTTCCCGGTTGCGACCGTGCGCGGGGGGCACACCCGAGAGGGGGTGGGAAGACGACCGCCCCCGCCATCTTCCCAGCTTCGGCCGTGCGCAAGTGCGACAAGGGGGTGGGAAGACGGGCGCCCCCTCCATCTTCCCACCAGCAGCCTGCCTCGTCAGACACGCCAGTTACCCCCAGCCCGGACGCCGAGAGGGGGGGCACGCCAGGAGGTGGGGTGGGAAGATGGCTGCCCCCACCTTCTTCCCGGCAGCGGCCGTGGGCTGGTGGGGGGTCGACAGCGTCCCCCCTGCTTCCCGTCCGCACGCGTTGCGGGCTCCATGCCTTTGGGGCGCCTGGCAGAGCCCTCCACGCGCCGCTGGTACAATGGCGACGACGAAAGACGGCGGCAACGACGACGACGACGACGGCGACGACGACCACGACGACGACGACGACGTCGACGACGGCGGCGGCGGCGACGGCGACGCCCAGGGGGGTGGGAAGATGGGCGCCCCTCACGTCTTCCCACCTGCCGCATGCCCCACGTCCCCCCGGTCCCCCCGGCCGAACGCCGGGGTGGGCACCCCCAGACGGGGTGGGAAGATGGCCGCCCCCGCCATCTTCCCAGCTGCCGCCGTGTTGCCGGCGCGCTCCCTCGAGGAATCGACTCACGCAGACAAGCAGAGAAGCAAAGCAAAGGGCGCTCTTTCCAGCCCCCGGCCCAAGCCGCCACAATCATAGGCACTGCAAAAGCACAACAAAATAATAACTACCCCCTCAAATTGCTTCAACATTGATTGGGTCATACGATGTCCAAAACCAAGAATATCCAACGCGCGATGGATGGCATTACTGTTGGGCAAGCGGCTAAAACATATCCAAACACAAATCACCAAATGAGCAACAATTCCCTTAGCTCCAGGAGGGAACAACGACTTTATCACTCGGGTGCTCCAACGGAGTGTCAGTATAATACTTGAATCTGCCTACACTGCTTGAAGCTTTCCGCAGCTCACACAACACAAATTCCAAATGCAAAAGAGAGAAATTCCAGACACGGTGGGCACGCGCATGCGGGAGAAGAACGCGCAGCATAGCATCACCAAATGGGGAATAATACAAAATAATGAGAAGAATAGAGCAACGCCGGATAGCGTGAGCGGAAGAATCCCGCTGCTTCAACGGAAGCGCCGCTCGGACTCTTCCATCTGGGTCACAGTCTTTGGCTATCTCGGCCAGGGCACACCCTGTGCCCCAGTCTGCTATCACATGAGTTTCCAAGGAATGTCTGCACTCCATCCGAATGGTCTCAGATACAGCCGTAGTCCCGAGCCAATACAAGCAAAATAATGACTTGAAGGGACCTACGCTAGGAAACCCGCAGAAGAAATCAAACCATTTACCGGGCACCGTTGGGACGGCATCTCCGGCAGCCGGCTCTTCCCAATCTGGATTTTCGTTATCCACTTCGGACCGCTTAGCCGAAAAATTCGCATCACTAAAAATCTGCCCAATCTTTGTTGCCGCCAAGTCGTCCTGTAAAATCGGAGCCAACTGTGTTTCAAGGCGGCGAGATGTGCGATCCTGATTAAAAAGAATGCGACAAGTACGCCTCTGGTAGACACCGGAGTGATGGCGGCCCTCTGAATCTATAGCGCGGCCCGAGCCAGCATCCCGATCGATGAAGGCTTCAAGCGTTCGCAAGATCGCTGTTTTGGATTCAGAATCCACGATGGCACAAGATTCAATAAAAGAGCAGACAACAGGCCTACATTTCGAACAAAATAAATTGCCCCGATCACCAAACCTAGCCTCCAGGACAGACATGCACTTTGTATTTACATCCAGACTAGAAATAGAAATTGACTTGGGGGCAGATGGCCGATCCGATCTGTCGTACCGCGCTCTCTCACCGCACCATAAACAAGAGAAGGTGTTGGTTGTCATTCCGCGCATCTGACCAGAAGCATCAGCCCCCCGGGCTCTTTTCCGAGGGACCGCGTCGCTGCACTCTCGATCGGCGCGCAAGGCCGTCCGAAGCGGCGTGCCACCCAACGATCTCGGACCCTGGTTTCCCGGCGACACAGGGGCCACCTGCTCAGCCATCCCGGCGTCCCGGGTGGAGCCAGCTGGGGCTGGGCTGGGCGCCAGGGAACAGTCTGAGCCGCGCAATGCGGATCGACGGACAAGGGATGGGAAGAGCTGTGGGGCCCGCAATATGAGAGCGAGGGCGCAATAAATGAAATTACACCCCCTGGGATGTGAGAGAGGGGAGCGGAAGGAAGGGCGAGGAGGGGGGACAAAAAAGCAGGAGGAGGAGGAGGAGGAGGAAGAAGAAGAGGAGGAGCAGCAGCAGGGGCAGGAGCGGGCTGCGAGCGTGTCTCCCCCCGGGCAATCCACATTGGATTCCGACGGACAGCCACCCCTTGCTGCATGGCACGCACACTTACCTCAATAAACAACACTGCAAGCTGCATGCACGAGTCCTGTTGAACCCAACGGCGACGACGACGACGACGACGACGACGACGACGCCGACGCCGACAACGGCGACGACGACGACGACGACGAAGACGACGACGACGACGACGACGAAACGACGACGACGACGACGACGACGACGACGACGACGACGACGACGCCGACGACGACGGCAAACATCGAGCCCATGCAAGCCCGACTGCGCAGGAGTGCTACATGAACATGCTGGAGCAATCCGAAATGGGAGGAGACAATAAGACAGGCGATGAATCAGGGTAGGACGAAGGAGGGGGAGGCACACTGGAGTACTGCATCGGGTCAGTTAACAAACGCGCACGTACGGATACAGGGCCACACACACACACACACACACACACACACGTAGCACGCGAGCGTGCTAGTTTGCAAGTTTGCTTTGCTCTGCGACGGCCGCGCCGGGCCAGCACGCAACGCGTTCGAGCACCCAACTCCGCCACCCGTGCCCCAAAGGCTAGCACACACGACCAGAAGGGCATCGCAGGTGCAAGGGACGACGCTGTACCCCCGAGGCCCGCAGGGCCTCGACGGACAACCCCCCCCCAAGCCCCCGTTGAGCAAGACACCAAAAGGCAGAGAGTCAAAGCTGTGCATACAGGCAACGGACGGGGCAGGCAGCTGCAGCACTGCATGGCAAGCACATGACAAGTTTTCTGGGCGCCGCGCTAGACGGCGCTCCCTCCCAACGCCCCTGGGGGCGCTGGCAGACAACGCCCCCTACGCGCTGGAACAACCAGGAGCGGAGAGACCCCAGCCCATGGCCGGCGCGCCGCGCCCGCCCCGCCGGGACGACCAGGGACGCCCCACGACACAACAAAATCTTAAGCTTGAGCCAAAATGGCTTGAGCCAAAATGGCTACGGCTCAATCCCCTCAGTGAAGAGCTGGCCGGCTCAATCCCCTTCGTGAAGATGTGGTACGGGCAAGACTCCACCTACCTCTGGCAAGACGAAATGGGGACTGTGCACGACGTGCACCAGGGAGAGGGGGTGGAGCAAGGGGGCGCGCTGGCCCCAGCCCTCTTCGCTCTTGCCCTGCACGGAGCGCTGGCGGGCGCCTCCAGGACCCTAGAGCAAGGGGACTTCCTAGTCGCTTTCTTGGACGACGTGTACATCAAGACCACCCGAGCCAGGGCCAGAGCCTCTTTCGACACCACCACCGGAGCAATTCACCTCCACGCAAACGTGGATGGCCACCTTGGCAAGTGCCGGGCTTACAGCAGGGGCGGAGGCGCAGCGCCGC